GAATGGATGATATTCATATAGTTTTTACTTACATGTGCTTCTAGCATAAGAAATCAGTAATTTAAATTTTATTTTTCAAGAATGGGCTGTTGATATACTATAAATAGATTAAAGATACAAAAGATGCTTAGCACAGCTTAGTAAAAGTCTTGTTGATGCAAAGAATTCAGATGTCAAAGTTTCACACAACAGCTCATCCCTATTTGGTTAACATCGAAAAAAGTCTTTATTCTTCTAAATTACTAATTACTTAGGGGACAAGCATGACAATGAGGAACATTAACACTTTGGAAGTATAATTAACTATTTGATAAAGCCAAATGATCTTGCACCGACACCCAATTAGCATTCAGCCAGCTCCCGAAAGAAGAGGAGGACCAGGATTCTAATGAGAAGCTAGATGCATAAAGTGTTTTATTCTAATTATAAACGCAAGCTATTTAAACAACTTTCGAAAAATAAAAAGAGAAAGGAGTAACTCTATAATTGTGATATTTATTATATTAATTGAGAAATCTTAAATGAACCTAAAAATATGAAGACTATGTGGAGCATACCGTAAAGAAGCATAAGAACAATGTCTAGACATAACCTAATGAGAGAAAAAGAAAAACAGAACAAAGGAGCCACCTTCATGGAGACCTAGGATTATTATTATTATTATTATTATTATTATTATTATTATTATTATTATTATTAAAGTGTAGGGAAAAGTTCCAAAGAAAACAAGCTAATATGTGAGAAAACAAGCTAATATTCTTCATTAAGAAACCGAAGAAATGAACTGAATTATCAATTCAGTCATGGTTAAACTTTGGATGCAGAATATATCATTCATCGATCTCTCTTTTGCCCGGCATCAATTTTTCAGCGTTTGATTTCACAGTTGACATATACCAAAACTAACATAGTGCTATTTTTTCTCACACACATTGATGCATCCCGGAATCGTGAACAAAGAAAATAAAAATATTTTCGTTGATATTATCTTCATAAACCAAAGATTCATTACATCGAAACAACACAAGAAGCAAGCGAATAATAATAAGATTATAAATTAAAATAAATACTAAAGGTGCGCACTCGAAGGAAGGGATTGAAAATGGCTAGAATTCAATCTACAAAACCTACTTGTTGTATGTCATGGTCGGGGTTCCCATAATTGGCCGGATCTGCCATTCCATCTGAGAGGACAGTCGAGTAGAATTAGGAAGCGGAGCATCAGAAGTGGCATTCCTCGCCTCCCAGCCCACGTCGACGCCGACGCCTTCACCTAACATCAATCAAACCCCTATCGTTCCTCCTCCGATTCTTCCTCGAGAAGGCCCCACAGCCGCTGCCGCTACTTCTCCAATCTCATCACCCTGATCAATCACCGTTAAGGAGGGTAAAGAAGAAAGGAAAGAAAGACGGGAGATGCTCTACCTTCAAAACCACCGGTCGATCCGTGGCCTCCTCCCTTCTCTTGGACTCATAATGAAAGAAAGAAGAATGACGTCAAATGATATAAAGATTTGGGGGAATGGTGGACGAGCGTACGTTGAATTGGTTGGATCAACAAGACAGATGGGAGAGAGAGAGAGAGAGAGAGAGGAAGAGGGGGGCAAAAGACTCTCTTTTTGTGTTTTTGGCTTCCTTCTTTGTTCGACCGCTCGTCGTGGGAAAATTTTAAGTTGGAGACGAGCACGAGTCAGAATGGACGGTTGATCCCGTCTCGCATCGCAAAGTCTCTACGGATGGCAGCGCCGTTTCGTTGCGGGGTTTGATCGATGGGATCCAATTTTTGCGGGAAGGACGGTCGTCATGACGACCGACACGTGGGATTCAAATCACACATCAGACCAAATCTTGACCATTGAAACTCTGGTTCTTATGAACCTGGTTTGGGCCTAGCGACGACATTAGGCGAAGCCCTTATATGTGTATATGATCAAGTCATGCACGATCCAACCTGCTCGTTAATTAACTCTTCCATCATTGTGTGAAAATTGTATGTGTAATCCGCCGACCCCATTTCACATTAACTTCTTCTATTGATCATAGTGATGACAGCAACGCATGACCACGTTCGCATCCCAATTGCCAACCTTGGGACGAAATAATTGGGCCAACTACTGGATTTATCAGACAGAATAATTGTGTCAATCACTTCAGTCCGACTACACTCATTAAGGAATGACCAGGAGTAGTCATTTCACCGATCAGCATGAAAAGCAAAATGCTTGATTTCCATATGCAACCGGAAGGGAAGCATTTATATCAGAGTATGTCCGAAATTTAGAAACCTTAACAAAACTAAAAGCAAGATAATATAACCAGAAAGAAGGCCATATAACTGAAATCAGCTGTAGAAAACACATTTCGGCACCCGAAATTGATTGACGTTGCATTCAAATTATGAGCAAAAAGAAAAAAAGAAATCTAATGTTTATTTTGCTTCGGTGATAATGGAGAAGCTGATTTGTGCCGTTGGTCGTCGTCTCCAAGTGGTGGAATCCCCACTTGCACATTCAACCTCTGCTTCGTCGAAAAACAACTTGGAAAAATAAACAGCATCCACATCTCTCGAGCAATTTGAATATATCTGAACAAAGAGATGTACAACTAATGATAAATGGTCATTGTGATGACCTTAAGCATTCAATGGGAAGACATTCAACCCACAAATCCTCTCTTGAAGGCCATGATCAGATTCAACCTCACAAAACTAAGGTATCACCGAAACGTGATCAGAAAGATTGTTCCTATTCTACCTATCACTAAATGATGCCAAGTATGGTCAACATGGAAGCTGATGCTTTGGTTGGAAAAAGTGGTCGCCATAGTCACAATGAATCAATGTCAAGTGTCATTTCAAGCATCGGGATTGAAGACAACACTTGTTTGGATTATAGGATTCTTCATTTTTGCCTTAGAAACAATAGTGATATTGAGAACAATATCATGTGAAATCTCCATTGTTATAGGATGGATTATCTGTGTTTATTGTTGAAACTTGCAAGCATCTCTCTCCTTCAAATGGGATGATGATGTTGGAGGCAGTCCAAGAAGATATGGAAGGTGCAATGCTCTTACCGTGATCTTTTTGTTATGTGGATTGTAAATGAACATAGTATGAATGTTGATGCACATATTGTTGTTCATACTCTCAGGGGTAATATCAACTCCTACTTGTATTTTTGGACTTTTCAAATATCACCTTGTTCATACTCCTGCCTCATCAAAAACATCGTTCTGCCCGATCACTATATGAAGGGTACTCTATACAGAGAGAAACAATAGTAATCAAATAATCTCTGACGTTCTGTGCACATTCATGTCATCATTCGCTGCCCTAAGGGGGAGAATATGGTATATTACATTTTTGTGATGCATATAATACAACTTTTGGATGATAAGTTGAACGAACCTATACAATGATACAACCCACGAATAGAAGCTCTGTTACAAAGAACAATGGTGGAAAAATATGACTAAACAAACCTTCTTGTCTAGATTGCCATCTCTATCCCTTGACAAGCTCTGGCCCTCGATTAGCAGTAGAATATTGCCAACTAAATAGGAAGTCTTCCATAAGCCATGAAGCTTGCACTGCCAGTTCGTGCCTTTTGTCTCTTTTCACTGTTGCTCCTTACCATCAACGAGAACAGCTAAGTCTAGGAGGATGGTGTTGCATCTTCCTCCTCGTTTGGTGCACTCGTGGATAATGTGGCAGTGGCCTGCCCTGGATAACTGTATTTCTTGAATACCCTTTCTTTGTTTTTGTTCCACCAGTCTTCTGCCTGCTGCTCGGCAAACCTTCTCTTGCTACACAAGAATCAAAAAGTCAGAATGCTTAATGTGAATGCAATAATGGAGAATTTCTTTGGATTCCTTTTTCAAGAATGAAAGTTATACTTGTTCATTCATCTCGATTACACCATGTTGCAAGTTTTCTTTTTGTTTTTTGTTTAACATACCTTTGACGTTTTCTACCAAGATAATTATAAAATAAAAAAAAGAAAAAATTGTTTGCTGATGAGTATGCAGCTATTGAAGAGTTTTTTTTCTAAATCAATAACGAGATGTATATGTGTCTTTTGTGACATGCTTAAATAGTATTGCATGGTTTCCAATGCGAAGAAGGCGTACCTGAATCGGACCCGTTTGAACATTTTAATGTCGTTCTTTAGTTGTATGAAAGTAATGTATACACCAGGCTCAAATTGCTCAACCAATTCTGCTTCTCCATCTGTGCTTTGCCTAGAGCTTGGAGGTGATTTTAAGCCATTGTCAATGCTATGTTGTGAAGTAGATTCTCTGTTATCAGGGACCACCAACTTACTACTGTTTTGAGCACCACCCTCAATAGCACTATGTGATAATTCCAACTCATACCTAGTGTCAATTCCCTCATTTGTCAGGTGAGATTGAAAATTAGATGAAGAATCCATTGTCGAAGACGAAAAGTCTGATCTGACATGTTCAGTGTGCTTAAGGAATGTTTCTGCTTGACCATGCATGACGCCCAAGCTGTCATGAAACTCGGGAGGTAGTTTCTCTGCTATGTCCATCAGCTTCAAATGAAAATGGTAGCCAATAAACATGGCAACAAGAATCAGTAGAAAAATCATAACAATGATAAATACAACAAAGTATTGTGATTATTTTGTATAAACTACAGTAAGCATGTGGTTTCTTCAAAAATATTAAATTTGGTGGAAACTGGATAAGTTACAGCATTCTATGATCTAATTAGCAACTATTCATTTCACAGTCTGACTGTAAAGAGATAGGAATTTGCCAAAACTGTTCCTTTGAAAGCAAAATAGATATAACCACTAAGTTTAGATCCTTCTGTGCAATTTACAATTCGATATATCAAATTTTTGTGGTCTAATAACAATATGAAGCATATGAGTGAAATGTTCATAGATGACTAACTAGATGGGGGCTATGAAAGTTTGAATCAATGGCATGCATGATCTCTATGTGTGGACAACAGAAATAACATAAGCTCCTTTCTCCTTGAGAAAACTCCCTCACATAATAAAGAAGCTATAGATAAGTGCAAACCAAGGGCATGTTAATAAACAACTTTTCTAAGAAGTTTTGATAAGGGTTTTATTAGTTAACCATGACATAATTTGTCAATAATAAAATTAGTCATTTAACAAATGTGAATTCAGACTTCTTAAGGGTCTTTGTTCATCAATTAGGTAACCATATAAATTGCAATCATCAGAAAGGCCTACTAAGAATTGACTGCTGATAACAAGAGAGCATGAAAGTGAATTTGCATCCAATACCGTGAATTATACCATGAGACAGTGATATCAATGAAAACATTGGAACATTTGCAACTTTCTAAAGAATATAGGTTACAGAAAGAATGGTGTACATGTTTTCATCTTTACAAAAATATTATGTATTGTAATTTATAAGGGTACCTGAGAATCAAGAGACTTGATGACTTCTACTGCAGCATTGAATTTGGCAGATTCATCTTGAGCTTTCTTTTCTGAATTCTGCGAGGCAAGTTCTTGTACTTCACATCTTTTTTTCAAATTTTTGACCTGGAAAAGGGCACAGAGATGTTCTTAAGGTTGCAAAGAACAAAAATGAAATGACATCTTCATACTAATTAAAAGCTTGCTTTTGCAGCATACCTGGGCTTGCAACTTTTGGAGGTCCTGTTTTTGTAGTTCATTAGTCCTTGTGAGGCTATCAATAATGCTTTTGGAGAATACTGGAGTTGCAGTGCGTGGAGGGCTTGGCTTTCTTGAGTAGGGTGATGTAGGCTTAGAATTTACAGGAGGTGGAGGTGTCGATGTTACAATTGGTTTTAAAGCGGTTTGAAGAGCACTCAATGAGCTGGTAAAAGAGAGATCTTTCAGCT